AGGTAACCAATGTAGACAAACCTTGACTTTGGATTCCTTCTCGAAGACGGCGGCGACCGATTTCGGCCTGCCCTGCTGCTCAGGCGACCGGGCTTGAACGCCGTGTTGTCGAAGAGCCAGACGACGTCGTCACCGGAGACGGGGCGACCAAAGGGGTTCCGACTGCCGAGATAGGAAGAAAAGTTGTCGACAGAAGGGATCGAGAAAGCGGACTGCAGAGCGGGCAAACGGGGATCGGGTAGTGCGGATTCCATTTCGTCAAACTTGTGTTCCTTGCGTGTCTGGTCTTGCAGTGCCTGTGCCTGCGCGGCGGCGGCGCTTTTTGACTGATGCGACGACATGGCGACTGGAATCTGGTGGCGAGGCAGGCTGCTGAAGTGTGGTCTCGAGGAAAGGTCAGGGGGCAGGGCTGCCGTCGCAGCGTGGGAGACACAAGATATCACGAGGGAAAGACACGCCGCGAAAGGGGTACAGATGCTGTGCTCCGGCGGTAGTAAAATGGGGGCGGAGGAGAGAAGGGGGACGAGGCGACGGATGGGCAGCCTGCTGCTATATGTCTTGGGACCTGGCAGATCAAAGTTGGGAGTGGCGGCGATGAGGTCAGGAGATGGAGAGGGGAAGAAAGCCAGTCGGCATTGCATTTCAGCTCAGGTTGGTCGCAGCAGATCAGCTCTTCATCTCGATGGGATGTGACAGGCAGGCAGGCGGGCAGGCGCCTAACGATGCACCTCTGCCTTCAGCCCCTCCGTCAGGCAGGTACCTAGATCAGGGCCAGTACGTGGGCAACCACAGCTGTCACATACCTGACTTCCCTACCTACCTACCTGCCCACCTAGGTACTAAATACAGGGAAAGAGGGGGCAGAGAACCGCAGTGTCGCCTCGTCGATGCGCTCAATGCTCATCATCTCGACCCCTAGCGGCAGGCGGCAGTGGCAGGTCTCGTGGTCTTGCCGTGCCTTTGGTCAACAAGAGCTCGTGACAGCTTGTCTGTCTAGTGACGCCTGATGACGCACCTGAGGTTTCGAAGGCGTCTGGGAAGGAAGCATCCCAGTTCCGGCTGAATGTCGGAACGCGCCTTCCCTCCCGAACACTGGTTGACAGGCGGGACCCCTGCTTCTCACGTGATCAGCATGTCACGGCATTAGCGAGCGAGTCGAGGCCCATCCGATCCGATTCCCGAGCTCCCTTATGTGTCCGATCCCCTACCTTAACCTTAAGCTGACCCGGAAGCCGACTGACGGTTGAATTGGCGACATGATACGGTAGGCAACCAAAGGCAATGGTATGGGCTTACCGACGAGTTGGCTTTTTCTTTTGCTTTCCTCGAATTAGATACCTACCTCACGATTCAACGTCAGAGCGACACATCAAACAGTACCTTGGCAAGCCAAGACTCTAACCTGACTAAGCTTGTCTTGGCAAGCAAGGCCCAAGTCATATCGGCCAAGGTAGTCAAGTCCCCAGTTCTGTTTCCTGTCCAGACTCCTCTCACCGTCATCAAATATTCTCCACGCCACGAAGCATCATCTCACCTCCATCCTCCCATACGAGACCACCGTTCTCACTTTTTCAATTTCGCAAGGCCAAGCTCCGTGCCTTGAGGCGTCGCGCTTCTGTAGCCTCCCTTGTTTGGCTCGCCGCCAAAGGAGAGACGGCCTTGGGACCTCTGGCGTTGCGACCTCTGGAGTCCCAATCTCGCCCCGGCCACGCGGCCACTTGTTGTCACATTTCACCCACCGCCCTTGCCGCAACTGGCATTTTGATCCTTTCGCTTCCTCCGTTGCACTGTCCGGGGGGCTTTGTCGCCGCCCACGGCGTCTCATTTGAGGCGCACCGCCCATCATGAACAACGCGTCCAACACATGTTCGAACGACAACCCTGATTATGTGCAGGATGTCCACGGCAACGATGATCACACAAAATGGTCCGGCTGCGGCATCCCTAGTAATTCAACCGATGCTCCTGTCTTGCAAGCATGCTGTGAGGCCTCGGCGACGATTTCGTCTACACCTACCAGGACTATTTCCCTCTTTTCTCTGAGACGCATGACATTGCCAGCTGCTGGACCACCTGCATGGTCAACGTTTCGTCGGTCTCGTTCGCCGACTCAACCAACGTAACGCAATGCATGATCAACAGCCTGGCAAAGACCGACGACAATGATCCCCATGGCAAGCTGTGCGGCGGGCCGGGAATGCGAAGTCTGGCGGCACGACCTGGACTGGACGTTGCAAGCTGGGGCATCGCGACCGCCGCCCTGGTCGCCTGCCTGCTCCGAGGATGAGCGGCAGGCGGACGAAGAGAACTTGCGGAGACGAGATTGTAGCATTGCGGCATTGCGACATTGCGACATTGTCCGCGCGATGACATTGGAATCATATCGTGGCGTTTACGGTCAGGCGGGCGAATTTGGCAGGATAGCGACTCACTTTTCATCGTTTATTAGTCACACGGAGGAGACCCTGCGACGCGTAGGGGCTGAATTAGACCAACAACATAACATGGCCAGGTGGCTTGAACAATTGTACACCTTTCCGCATTCTTGAGCTCTCGGATGCTAGGGGTTCAATCGAGCCATTGTCTCTTGATGTCTCAAATCGGACACCCGCTGGCTTTGTGGACCGCCACAAGATTCTCGAACGAGTGACATGTCGAAAATAACACCCGGCGCTGTCTTTCACAGGCGGTACTATCACTGCTGCCCTTGAGACGCATGCTTTGGTTGAAGCAGCTCCAACGCCTCCATCATTCCAATTGCCACGGCGAGAATTGGAGAGAGACAGCCACATGGCCATGGCAACTCAAGGAGCTCCTGCCATCGGACTGCCGGCCGTCGGCATCAGAGGACGCCGTGTTTATCCTTCTTTGTTCGACTTGTTCTTGATGACCTCTCTCACACAGTCGCCTCTCCTCACCGTTCTCAGTATGAGTGGCCTCCTATGTTGCGTGCGACCACCGCGTTCATGAAGTCGTTATGCGCATCTGGGCGCCATGGCTTCCCCTCGTGCCACTGCTATTCTGTGGAGGGGGCCATGCCTATGCCGACATTGGACTTTTCGAACGTCTTCGACCGAAGCAGTGCTTGTGCCTCACAGAGGTCATCGTCGTCACCTATGTCGGCACACCAGAGTTCGTTGCCTCCTGCATCCAGTCTGGCTATTCCGGCACCATCACCATGCCGGGGAGACCAGGATATCCCGATATACCGTATCCGCCGCCCGCAAGCGCACCACCGCCAGGGGCAGCGCCAGCACCGTGGCTGGGACCGGGATCCGGGACGTACACTGGTTTATCTTTTGTAACGAGTACCCGCGGCCTTTCCCTCGACATCCACTCCTCGGTTACCACTGCTCTGGTTGCGAATGGCACGCTATCCACCAATTTCTCCAACGTCGAACCGACGCCAAGTCTAAGCAACAGACCCTGTGACAAGCCAGTACTTGTCTCAACGAGCGGTCATGACTCTGGCGACCCTGCTAGCTCGACGAACTGTCTTCCCTCCGACGCATGTACCGTCCACGAGAATGATACGACAGCGACACCACGCACAGGCTCAGCCAAGGTCTCGATCACTCGGACAATATTCACGACTTTGAGAACTGTCACCACATCCGTCGTCATATCGACAAACAGAGCCTACAAGAGCGTAACGACCCTTACCACACTCGGAACCATCACCCCCATAGGGCCGAACATTCCGAACGTCTCGACGAGCTTTGGCAGTGCTACAGGGTCAGTGACAAGCAATGGCGTGGATAGTCTGGAGAGCGCGAATAATGGACCGGTCCTGACGATCTCGAAAACTGTCGCGTCGTTTGATGGGTCATCTATCACGACGACGAAACGTCTAACCAGGACCACCGGTTCCTTGTCAGACAATCTTCAGCCCACGGACCTTTCAGGATCATCAGGAGATATGTCAATAACTGTTGCAGCTACGACCACGTCAACCACGATGATTACCGTGAGCGGTCTGTCAACACGGCCGTCAGAGCAGTCTTCCGTGTCATTCACTGGGAGTGTTTTCACAACGACAACAACCCCAGCGATCACGTTCACTAAAAGGCCGACGGCTTTGTCTGAAGGCTCGGGGGAGTCGATGGCCACGAGTCAATTGATTCAAGTGTCGGGTGTAACGACGGAACTCACCACTGTGGCCCTCGGGACTACAACCAGTGCTTTGACACGATCTATCTCGGGCTCAAACGTACAACCACCCTGTGCGTCCCTTGATCAAGCTTTACCAGCCGCGTCTCAGCGTGGCACGAGCAGCTTGAAGAGCACCATACCATCTTTTGGAGCAGCTCCTACAGTCATAAGTTCTCAGCAGAACTTGACACCAAGCGTCGCTAGCGGTGACGGCTCTCTCGAGATGTCCGCTTCTTCCACTGGAAGGACCCCGATGTTTGGATCGGCGACTCTTACGGATTCATCGAGCTTGGTGGGCCCGCCCAATACCCTCGAGGCATCTGCGTTACCCGGATCCGCAATCTCTCTGCGTCTCTCTAAGTCAACAGAGGCATCAGGTGCATTGGGTTTACCGACCTCTCTAGATGTCGCGACCTCAACATTGCCATTTCCTAGCAGCTCGCGTTCGTCGCCATGGACACTATCTCCAGAATCGTCAGGTATATCCTCAGCCATCGCTGGGGTTGAGACCGCCCTTGCGAGCCGCTCATCTTCAGACGATACCCACACCCCTGCAGTCACTACCGAAGTCATTGAGCCTTTGACATCAGATGCATCATCCAGCGGTCAACAATCAACGAGGGTAGCTCCGGGCATTTCTTCGTCCAACTCATTGCTATTGCCATCAAGCATCACAAGCAAGTCTTCAGCTCTGTTGAGCCAGCCAACTTCCGTCCTCGAGGGTATACCTTCAGGCAACGTTGTTGCATCATCAAGAGACACCACATCTCTGGGTCTCGGGGCGGCATCGAGCAGCGCCGCAATCTCAGTTGTATCAATAACTTCGTTGATTAGCACTGCTTCTTCAAGCATCTTTATGTTTCCGAGCGAGTCTCTGATCCCTGCAAGCCAGCTCCCGATCCAGTCGAGCGACGTTGTGTCGACACAGCTGCCTATCTCTTTGAGCAACTCGACATCTTCACGCACGTCAAACTTATCCGGCGAGAACTCGGAATCAGCCCCAAGCTCCGTTTCCGACCAACGGCAGAATAGTTTGTCAGAAGCGACTATCTTGACCACCCATCGGGACATATCTAGTGATGCCAGGGATTCTTTTGGATCTTGGTCGGGTTTCTCGGGCCCTGCGACTAGCTCAGCCGTTGCCAACCCCTCCGTGCAGCCAGAAACAACCTCATTGACCTTTAGTCTCCGCAGTTCTACGGTGAGCTCAATGAAAGTGTCGACTGAATCTGCTTCCATTAGTATTCCAATGCCTTCCGCACAGTCTGAGTTCCGACCGAGCCGTTTGGTGGCTTCCACTTCGAAAATATCGTCCAACCTCTCTTCCCCGACCCCGGCGGTTTCCGCGCTCTCCTCGTACGGCTCAGAATCCTCCATTCTATCAGGATCATCTACGTTCCCCGAGACGACCGATGGTGCAGTACGTTCAAGTACATCAATGCCATCTATCATCCTGGACATTTCTACCACTCCGGTCCTCTCAATTGCGTCAGAGACTTCTTTTGGATTGATATCATCAGCCTCAACACCTCAAAG